TCTTTTCACCCTCTATCTGAAACCAGAGCCCAGTCTGCTCTGATTGGTTAGCTGGCCGGCTCTGTTGTGATTGGTCAACCGCTTAGAGATGTCCCACCCCTTAGTCTATCACGAACCATGTGTTGGAGCGCTAGCCAATAGAAGCGTGAGTGTTACATAGTGATGTCACTATGTACAGGAAGGGTCCAATGGAGCCGTTTCAAGCAGGGGGGGTTTGTGTGGGAGAGAAACACAAGGGTTTTAGCCTTTGCAGACCATTTACATGCACTAAAACCTATAACACACTACAGCAAAGGAAAAAAACACCAACAAGCATAATAGAGCTTATTTCAACTGTACTTTTACAGTTCATTGTACACTGTTCATTGCTATTATTTATCTAGCATGCAAGTCTGTGTGATCATTTAAAATATTTGTATTTGTGATACGTTTAGAATTTCTCTTTGTTGTCCTCCGGTCAGCACTCTGAATGCTGGTTTGCGTAAGAAATGAGTGCTTCCTCAACAGATTTAGTGCTCAATTTTTTTAAATTATTCGAACAGACACAAAAGCATCAAGAACTCATCCCTGAGCGTGTTAACCCTGCAGAAGAATCCAGAAAGGTCTTCTGCACAAGACATCTGCTTTACTACTGACCTCTGTACACAGTCAGATGCTTTCACATGACTACACTACACACAACTGTTGTATTGATTTAAAAAACATGTTTTAACCACCTTGCCATGTAAATCAATTGGTTCAAAAAGGGATTTCATTGAGTTGAAAAGAGGTCAAGTTAGGACTTGTTGTTTTCTGAAAAGCTGCAATTGTCCTACTTGGAGCACCACAAACACAGTTTATTCATTTACATTGTACAAGGGTTGCAGCAGAACCTTTAACAGCAGAAAACTCACAATATCTGCAAGTAAAACTGGAACTAACAGCTCAGGATTTTGTTGAAATAAACCTCTGAATAACTGTAGTTAACACAGCCTGTAGCAAAATTGAAACAAAATGAGATTAGGTGTGTGTGACTCTGTGTGTGTGAGGGTGTTTATTGAATGTAACACTCAGATGATGGCAGTAGTGATCTGTGTCAAATCATCTTTAGCCTCCCAGATTCAGTTGTTTCAGAAGCACATTTTTCTTGATATAAATAACCCTCAGCAGCCTCCGAGAAGTCCTGAGGACGGCACAGAGCGTTCATACGTTCAAGAGCAAACTCAAGACCCACCTTTTTAATTTGGCTTTTAGATTTATTTATTATGATTGTATTATTTACTATCTCTATTTTTATGTATTTATTTTTATTCTTGTTTTATTCAGTCTAGCGTTTATTGACTTCTTTCATTGACGACACAAAGTTATATCTATTTATAACCTAGGAAAGGGGGAGGTTGTGAAGCACTTCGCGTACAGTATGTAAGTGCCTAGATGAATACAGTTTGATTGACTGAATGATTGAACTCCTTTGTAGATTTAATTATTGTGCAAACATCCAGTGAGTGCAGGAAATCAGCAAAAAGTTGATTACGGTTTTGAAACAACATGTTCCCACGCTAACATGGTTCTGTTTGGTTACCTATATACTGCTGTGCAAATAGCAGTTAATTGTCTAACAAATGTAAAAAGTGCATTAAAAGTCTCTGAAATGCTAGCTGAAGTAGCATTAAACAAGACTCAACTGAAGTATAAGTACCTCAAAGTACCAAGACTAAGGATAAATGCACTTTCCAACACTAAAAGCTCTTATGTGAGAAACTAAGAGAGCAGTTATTCACATTAATCTGTTGTTTTTGGTGAGTTTAATGTGGTTAGACGTCTTAATTCCTCGTATTCATTAACAAGAAATTGCATTAGTTGTTTGTGGGAGAGAACAAGCAAACAAGCAGTCATAAGACAAGCAGAGAAAACACGTTACACAACTCTATTCAAGATATATTTGTATCTGATTTATATCTGAGTTCTTCTTTTTGTATTGGCTGAGGACAGTGCTGAATGAAGATCCTGTTCTCTCTCTTAACCCTTGTATGGTATTCGGGTCTGTGGGACCCGTTTTCATTATTTTTTCAAACTCACACTCAATGGATTGCATTTTACAGTTACCCTCCCAACCCTGCCTACAGTACAACACAGTACAGTCCAATATACTAGAAATAACCATTTCCAATGAATGGTAGTATCAAGCTGTGGCTATTTCTGTCTGAACACTGCCTCAAATAGCAGATTCAAACACAACATCTAAGTGGGTGGCTGAATGTGAGTTGCAGATTGTATATGTGTGTGTGTGTGTGTGTGTGTGTGTGTGTGTGTGTGTGTGTGTGTGTGTGTGTGTGTGTGTGTGTGTGTGTGTGTGTGTGTGTGTGTGTGTGTGAGACTGTTGTGTTTCTGTCCCTGCCATTCCCCGCACAAGGTTGCAACATTGTTGATAAAGTCAGGCACGGACACCGGTCTGCTCTCACATTCCCGCATTATGTCTTGCGGGAACCAATCTTTATTTTTGTCACACTCTATCCCGGCTGCAAATTTGGGGCGAGACACAATAAATAAAGCTTCGCCAGTTTGGGTCCTTATCACAACTGATCAAGATGGCCAAAAGGTTCTCTGCTCAGAGGGCCTTGCAAATGATTCTGGAAGAGAGAGAACCATTTGATGTAGAGGAAGAGGAAGAGGAAGAGGCTTCAGAATGTGAGGATCACATTTCTGAGAAGTCTGAGTCTGACAAAAAGCCGAGCCAGGACCAGCCGGTCAGCGGGCAAAATAACAAGTAGCACTTTCATTCATTAATGTGTAAAAGGGCAAATATTAACCATGTGCTGTTTATATTGCTTGTAATTGAGATGAAGTAAACATCTGTTGAGTATTTGAACATAAAATAGTTTGATTGTGTTGAATTGAAGCCCAAAAAGCCAGCGGGTCCACCAGACCCCTGAACACTGGCTGAGTAACAAAAATACGAACACCACACAAGGGGTAATGGAGTTTCACCCTTGTTGAAATCAAGAATAACCGGCTTCCCGTCACATGCCTCCAATTTACATTCATTAGCACACAATGTCAACTTAAATGACACAAATGTTCTTTTCTCCTCTGTAAATGACCACCGAGGAGTCACCACATATGATCCGTTTACCCTCTTCCTCCATAGCTCAATGATCATGGTTTATGCCAGGCTTTGGGAGTAATGGATTACATGTAACAGGATGCCTGGATATGCTTCATGAAAGGCAGGTTTTCCTATAAATAAAATCATTTTCGACACTAAGTATCTTGGTTTCTTCTTTTCACATTGTTCTGTTGTCTTACATATACACTTAAATAAAAACATCTTATTGATATATCTTTTACCTTGTATTGATCATTACATTATCAGGTTACATTACTTTTATATTTTGATACTCACATTAGGTAACTGAATTTAACTACACTTAATGAGTACTTTTAGTATTTCAAGTATATTTTGATGCCAATACTGTTGTACTCTTACTAAAGTATTCATGTGGAAAAGAAAGAAGCAATGTGCTTATCTTGTTCTTCCCCAAATAAGATTACAACATAATGAATCCAAACAAAACAACACAAAGGAAATACAAGTAATTATTTGAAAGTTAATCATTTTGTTGAAAGTTTGAGTTGAAAAGGCAAAGTTTGAGTTGAAAAGGCACCATCCACTTATTTTAAGCTGAGATCAGAAAATATTGTCTTATCAAAAAAGGTACATTTATTTTTTGTTATAGGACCCCAATTTGATTAACCAATGGAAAACTGGGGTTCTCTGTAAACTTAAATACCCCAGTGTGTGTGTGTGTGTGTGTGTGTGTGTGTGTGTGTGTGTGTGTGTGTGTGTGAGTGAGTCAGGGCCAGGGGTCTCTCCAGCTGTGAGAACCGCCCATTCATCGAAAGCGGCCGAGGGTCTCACAGCCTGTCTTCAATTTGATTGACAGGTCTGTAGTCCAATGAGAGCTCGCCAAATCGTGACTCACCATTCGTCCTTTGCCAATGGAAGCTCGGCGGAGAGGCGGACTGCAGGAAGCACACTTGGTTGAATGACCATTAAAGCAGCAATCAGCGGTAAATGTGTTATGATGCCACGCTCAAAACACACACCGAGAGGATTGTCCGAGGCTGCGGGAACACGACACCTCTCCACCGGGTAGAAACGGAGTGAAACGCGGCACGGCTGCTGCGGACTGTCTGTGCGCCAAGGAGTCTGGCTACAAATCAAACCAGGAGTCGCTCTCTGGGGATTTGGGCAGTGATGGACAGCTGTTGGGACATTGCTTCGGGGCAGAGGTTGACGATAAATTGACCGTGCGTTAACACAGGCTGCAACATGGAGCATGGAGCTGTTTTCTGTAGGACGAGCAGGAGGAGGAGCGGCTGACTTTCCCCTCCGATCAGGATCGTGATGATGCTTTTTTTGGTGAGAGGCTCCCCCCGCCGTCCAGCCTGCATGTTAGGACAGTGCAGGTGCATCGAGACTTGACGGGACCAGCAACCATGGGATTCACCTTTTTTTATTTCCCTCCGTCTTTTTTTATGGCCGCAAAGCCTTTCCATGCGGGAAACATGTCCGCAGATACAGGGTTCACAGCGTAATTGATGGTGTTGCGCCATGATCTCTGGGGGACTGAGTTGTGTAATGGTTTTATTTCCTCTAGGCTACAGCGCGCTCTGACGTGCAACCCCTCCATGGATGGTGGTTAATTGGGCCCAATGATGTAGAGCCAAATCCACCTGGAGTGGCTCCCCTGTGTTTCTACGCATGTTCAATTGTTTTTTTTGTTTTTTTTATTAATTCCCAGATCTTTTCAGCACTATTGCTTTGGATAATCTCATCTAGTTTTGATTTTTAGATGAAAATGGGAGATTAAATGAAGGCAACAACTATGGAAAATCCAACGTTTGAAAGATTTATAATATTTGGAACTTAATCGTTTCCTGACATTCAGCAACTTTTATTCCTCGCAGTATTTATTTATAGAGGCACATTTCTGTCTGTTGCCTCCTTTTTATCCACCATGTCTAGATCAAACAGTGTCAGCCCACCCGGCGTCGGTGCCCCCGGGTTGAGGGGAGGGACCGAGCACAGATCAGCTTGGGGAGAGTCTGAGTCCGTGGCCAACGGGTGCCCATACTCAGCCAGATCCCCGCGCAAGAAGCTCACCCGGACCAACAGTCGGTGGAGGGAGGAGGATGATCTGGAGCACCGGCAGCCCGGGGGGCGAGCCACCACCACCACCACCGTCAGTAGGGTCAGCTTCAGGTCCAGGTCCGCTTGGCAGGACCATGGCGAGGACAAAAACCGTGCGTCGTCCCCTAAGCGTCCAGACGGCGAGGTGAGACCCAAGTCTGTGGAGTTAGGACTGGATGAGCGCAGGGCCAAGGCGAGGAGCGACGAGGAGGAGGTCATGCCCGAAGTAAACTTTTCCGTAGTGGCGTGCTGCACCAGCGTTATGCACATTTTCAAATCCAAGAAGTTCCAGTCGGAGAAGTTGGAGCGGCTCTACCAGCGCTACTTTTTCCGGCTGAACCAGAGCAGCTTGACGATGCTCATGTCGGTGCTGGTGCTGGTGTTCACGGTCATGCTGGGCTTCCCACTGCTCCGGTGGCCCAGAGAAGCCCAACGTGACTTTCGCGGTGGTGTTTTCCGTGGCCATCTTCCTCACCCTGGTTCTCATGGTGGTGTGCAATAGGAACGCGTTTCACCAGGACCACATGTGGATCGTGTGCTACGTGGTCATCCTGCTGGTGATGGTGATCCAGGTGATCGGAGTGCTGCTCGTTCGGCCCAGAAGTGCCTCGGAGGGCATCTGGTGGACCGTGTTCTTCATCCATGTCATCTACACGCTGCTGCCCGTCAGGATGCGCGCAGCAGTCGTCACTGGAGTTATTCTTTCTGCCATTCACGTGGCTGTTTCTTGGATGTTAAACGGCATGGACAGTTTTCTCTGGAAACAGGTATGTGATGAGCTTTCTTTCTAATGATCTCTCTCTCTCTCTCTGTGCGCAATAACGCACAGCAGAGCTTTGGGCACTTCCTTTAAAGTTCCCTGCTGCTGCTCAACTTGTTGATGCTTAACAGTCAAATAGGATCAGAAGCGACTGTGACCAGCAGTGTGTAGAGGTGGGAGAAGTACTCGGATCTTGTGTAAAAGTAGAAATACTCAGATCTTGTACTTGAGTAAAGTAGAAGTACCAGAGTGTAGGAATACTCTGTTAAAGTAAAAGTCTTGCAATCAAAATGTTACTCGAGTAAAAGTACAAAAGTATTGGCATCAACATTTACTTAAAGTACCAACAGTTAAAGTACTCCATTTCAGAATAGTATTGAGATGGAGACTTTATTTATTTCAAGTTGGGACATTTGTTTCCTCCACAGCATTGTTGACAGTCATTGTACAAGAGTTACAACATTTCTTACAAATAGAATAAAATAAACATGAAAAGAAAACATTTACATACAAAGAGCATCTACGAATACACATAATAAAATATACAGAATACATTTGAATTCTCCCTGATATACCAATGGAATATGATATGTTTTGATTATAATGATTGATCATGAAAGTGTTCTCAAAGCTGGTAAAGGTGCAGCTAGTTTGAATGACTTTGTATACTGCAGGGTAGCTTGTGAATTTACTCCAGGTGGAACTAAAGTCTGATTTAACACTTGATTATATTTCACATCATTCATCCAGATCTGTAAAGTAACTAAAGGTATTAAATACATGTAGTGGAGGAAAAGTACACCATTTACCTCTTATTTCCAATTGTATTGGAGTAGAAGTACAAAGTAGCACACATCTGAAATATTCAAGTAAGGTACAAGTCTCCCAAAATTGTACTTGCTTGAGTTAATCTACTTAGTTACTTTACACCACTGCTAGTACTTTAATAAGTAGCTTGTGTTGTATTAGCTGATCTAATGGGCAGTGGAGAATTGTTGCTGCAAAAACCGCTCCTTACAGACTCTTAAAAAGGCTAAAAAGAAAATGAAAAAGTGACACCACCACCTCCTGCAGGGTTAATTCCTCACACCACTTTAAGGGTCACTTTTGTGTGTAAAAGCAGATGTTAAACAATGCATGCTCTACTGTTTTGCTGTTCTTGGAGAGGGGAAGGTTTTTGCCACTTGTTTGGAGCCAGGTCATTCAAAACAAGTAGGCTTGAAACATCTAATTACATTTGGTCTGACCAAGGTTAGCTGAACCACACTTGGGTTTTAAAATGGGCAATCTCTTTTGTACGTCGGTAGTGGTTGATTTTAAGTATTTCTTTTTGAGTGAAAATGGTGGAATTGTGCTTAGAGTTCATGAGTCTGGAGTAGTGTTGTTGATGCATTTACGTTAAAGTTTATATATCGTATTCATTTGACCATGTTTCTATCGTGATAGATGCCTATATTTACTCGCATTTTTTTGTTTGCATAGTTCCATTCTTTGTGTGTCGCCACAATTTGTAATACTAAAATATATATCAATATTGCAATACTTGTATCACTGGGAATAAGCTCCATCACTATTGTGTTAACTCCTTGTACGATAGATGCTGACTTAACAGACATTTACTTGAATGAAAATCCTCAAATTTGCCTCTTTAAGTGTAGATTTTGTCTGATAGTTTTAGTACTAACCTAACAGCATTCAGGCAAACTCATGGTCATGTGCACGTTGGCTGACCAGAGAGGCATTTAGTGGAAACTAGTGCAGAAAAGATGCTTGGAAAAGCCCCTAAGGTCTTATCAACTCCTTAAGTAAATACAAAAAAAAGACATAAAAAGACATTCAAGTACAGCATTAAAAAAAACAGTTTCCTTATATACAGTTGACTCTTTAACAAACATGAATTAATTAGCATTGCGCTAGAGTGTTTTGTAGACAAAGACTTTACTATGGGATGTACTGTAGCTGCTGGTTGCTATGGAAACTTTGTCAGTTGGCTTGTTGCCCCTCAGGCTGCAGACGGCTATAGGTTTAGCACACAAGTACCTCTCTCTCTCTCTCTCTCTCTCTCTCTATACTTTATATATTGCACTGTAAGATATTCCTGCATTTAGATGGAGTTTCCTAGAAACTATTAATCACAGACTCTCACAGAGACAGTGACTTTCTTATACTTGACTGCAACTTAGAGGCATTTATTAGATTGCAAATTATATAAAAAGGAAGGTCTGAAGTTTGTCCGTCGCCACCGAAAGTCAGATTGTTGTCATAAGGACTGTGATATGGCCATATACTGTCCAAATTATATACAATTGTTGTATCTTATATATTTCACCATATTGTTCCTCTTGTTACTTTCGTTTATTCAGTTTCGATGTATCATGTATTTAATTTAGACGGGACTAACAAAAACTCACTTTACCATGTGATTATTTCATAATGAAAATGTTCTTGAAGTAGGAGTTCAAGTACTCATTGCAGAAAGAAACAACAACTCTGGATGATAAATATTTGAAATGAAAATCAGAAAGTCTTCACATTTATCCTGCAGCTGATATATCTCTCCACCTTTTTAACGCTGACCTTAAAGCACGTTTCCAAACACAGATATGATTCATATTTACATAGTGCTTGTTTTATTATGAAGTGAAAGGGCAAACTGCAGGATAAATACCTGAACTTTAAGTTGTTTTAAAAGAGGATTTGGTTGTTTGCCCTAAGCTTTGGAAAGACTGATTCCAGGTTGTTGATTCTTCTTTATCTGGAGCTTGTAATGAGCTTTCAGGGGAGAGTGTTTTAATGTGCTGCTGCTTAGTCTACATGTTCCTTATTAACTCCAAATGCCCCTGGTATTTCTTTTACAACATCAATAACGCTTTCAAAACAGTTCTCCAGGGCTGCTGGTAAGTCTGTAATAAAGGTGCTTACCTAAATGACTTTAGTGTGTGTTGTGTGTGTGTGTGTGTGTGTGTGTGTGTGTGTGTGTGTGTGTGTGTGTGTGTGTGTGTGTGTGTGTGTGTGTGTGTGTGTGTGTGTGTGTGTGTGTGTGTGTGTGTGTGTGTGTGTGTGTGTGTGTGTGTGTGTGTGTGTGTGTGTGTGTGTGTGTGTGTGTGTGTGTGTGTGGTGTGTGTGTGTGTGTGTGTGTGTGTGTGTGTGTGTGTGTGTGTGTGTGTGTGTGTGTGTGTGTGTGTGCGCCACACCGGAGTACTTTTCCCGTTTAGTTCCGTTAGTTCCTGGAATTTTGCGTTCACACCAAAAAGAGAACTTAGTTCCCAGAACTTTTACCCCCATTTTAGTGCCTGCTAGAGAGGTGGGACTATCCTGGGGAGAAAAAAAGTACCAATTTCGATTGGCTGGGCGGATTGCAAAACCACGCCCCGTAAAACTCTGAAAAGTTTTGTGAAGCTGCCATTGTATTTGCTGGCATGAGCATTAGCCCCGCGCACCAATGGAGAGAGACTAACTTATGGCAACACAAAATAAAACATGGGAGAGGTGAAGATGAGGAGGTGTCGGCGTTCTGGCGATTTACTCGGAAGGCTTCAGTAGAAGCTGCTGGGAGTCCCACAAACCCTAACCCTAACCCAACTCCGGGGACTTCCGGCCGGGGACTTCGGGTGGCAGTATACGCCGTGAAGTTGTTTGCGGCCTGCCAGTAAACCCAAAGCAGAAGAAGTGACGTCAGCGGCTTCATTTGCGTAATCTTCCCTCAGGGAACTTATTCCGGTGTGAACGCGATCTGTACTTAGTGCCCTGGGGGTACTAAGTGCTGGGCACGAAGTACGGCAAAGTACTTGGTGTGAAAGCGGCTAATATGGAGCAGACTGGGCTCTGGTTTCAGACAGAGGGTGAAAAGAGGTGCTCTTTAATATATATATTCTCTGAAAATAGAAAAAATTGTCCCACAGTGTATCTGGACCTGTTATGTATCCAACTTTACAAAAAAATGGTTGCGTTGCCGTTTGAAAACCCTGTGAAAGTACATGAACAGTCACAACTTTGTCACATGTTGAAAGGATTCTTAAACCCTTTTTGTTTCTTCTTGGAATCTAGTGTTTGGTTACAGAGCTAAAACCCCAGCTGATGGCTGATTTAGTTGTTCTGTGTGAAAGGCATGTGACCCTGCATGTGACCCTGCATCTATTTGTATTTCTGCGAAAGCCACATTGTCATTCGATGTGTTGATGTGAGTGTGTGGGAACGAGCTCCTGTATTTGTTGTTCTTTCCTCACCATGCTGTTGTTTTTAGCATATCTGTTCTCCTCCGTTTACATAGGAGCCGGCACGTCCCTCTGTTAGACCGCTGCTGTTTATGGGAGATCCCAAGATAACAACGTTTCTTGCGCGTGTGTTACCAGGAATATGCTGAGTTTTTCCCCAAGTCTTTGGAAAAGCACCCAACCTTGTGATCTTTCATCTGTTTTAGCCTGAAGGGTTGTTCCGGAAATCAAAACCCTGCAAAGCTAGGACAAGGATTTCTCTTTCTTTTTCAACTTTCATACAGGTGAACGTTTTTTTTTTTTAAGTGATACAGTTCCGAGCCATGGATAACTCTCATACTTTCAGTCAATCTTTAAGGGAAGCACGAGTCTTTTCATTGTTACTTTCCACTTTGTGTTGCTCCCAGGCCTTTTACTGACAACATTAAAGTGCTAATCATGTGATCTGCAACACTTATTACTGCATTTAATCATGGAGGCCTTTTTTCTTCTTCTCAATGTTGTGAGCTCAGTTTTGCTCAAGAAACATTGTTCCAACATTATTCCTTTTTACTCATCATCAATGTCAAGCAGGGGCGGACTGGGACTACAAATCAGCCCGGGACTCTCGACCGGCCCACCTCGGTACCGCAAGTAATTACCGCTAGTAAATTGTCAACGGGGGGGTGCTAGTGACTTATCCGACTGGCCCACATCGTCCGACCGGCCCACTTCAGTACCGGCCCATCGGGATTCGTCCAGAACGTCCCGATGGCCAGTCCGCCCCTGATGTCAAGGCATAAATCAATAACGT